ACTTCTGATGAGCTGTCTGAGCAATTAAATTGTTGAAGCAAACAAAAAACAAATTGCTGGTGAAACTCTGTTTGGCAGCATCTGTGAAGAGAAACCAGACTTAACTTTATGAGTCCAGTGACCCTTCTTCAGTTCTTTTTCTTTTTAAGACACTTCTGTTCTGAAGAAAGGACACCAGACTTATTAACTCTGTTTTCTCTTCACAGGTACTGCCTATTGTTTCTCCAGCAGTTTTTGTTTTTGTTTGTTTCACATTTTCAGCACCCACAGTTCTTTGCTTTATTATGAAAATTTGAAATTTCACTGTTTAAGGGTATAATTGTCTTCAGATTTTAAAGATTTCTTCTTTTACTTTTCCATTGTATTTTTCTCTCTTGATCCAAACTTCCTTTCCCTCTTTTAATTTCTTTATCTATCCAATTTGATTTTACATTCACCCATGTGTAAGTTACATTTCACTCTCAGTCCTTGAGTAGTTAATTTCACAATTCTTCAACTTGATTGGGTAAGGTGATACCTCTGTTCACTGAGATTGCAGGTGCCCAGTTTTCTCAACTGTGACAGAGTCAACTCACATTCTCAGCAACTAGACATGCAAAAAATATTATATCCTAAATCTCAATCCAACTATTAACAAAAACATTATGCAGTTCACTTTTATAGTACAGTCAACTTAACATATAGCTTTCCATGCAGCTGGAGTTGTACAAAACCAGTGCAAAGCCGTTGCTGTTGCAGTTGCTTACCCCTGGCAGCGTCACAACTTTATCTTTCATGTATTTGGGTGTCCTGTAACTGATACTTGCCATACTGCCTCGCTTGTCCGCCTTCCACAGGGACCGTTCCCTCTGGGACACCCTGGTCCACACTTCCTTCACCCCCAACAGCTCCCCACAGGCCTATGCCACCTTTCTCTGTAACCGGCAAAGATGCAACACCTGCCCATTTACCTCCTCCCTTCCCAATATCCAAGGGCCCAAACATACCTTCCAGGTGAAGCAACACTTCCAAGAATCTAGTCTACTGCATTCACTGCTCACAACATGGTCTCCTCTACACTGGGGAAATGAAGCGTAGACCGGGTGACCGCTTCACAGAACATCTACATTCTGCTCACATAGAAGACCCTGAACTACCTGTTGCCTGCCACTTTAACACACCACCCTGTTCCCTGACCAACATCTTTGTCCCTGGCTTGTTGCAGTGTTCCAGTGAAGCCCAACGCAAGCTGGAAGAACAACACCTCATTTTCCGCTTGGGGACTCTGCAGCCCTTACTTAATATCAAGTTCAATCATTTTAGGGGCTAAACTCTCCCATAACGCAACTCTCTACCCCAAACTCCAGGCCTTGTCAACACATAGCCTGCCATTACATATTGCCTATTGTTAGTCGCTAATAGTCCCCATTAACGATTATTCACCCTCCCAGCAAGATTGGTATCAACTCTTTGTCCAACTGTTCTTCTCTTCTTCTCTCTCTTTAGGCTCTATCCTATTGTTTACTCCCTACCCCACCCACCTCCCTATTTTCTGTATATAAACTGACGTTTTCCCAGCCACCATCAGTTCTGAGGAAGAGTCACTGGACCCGAAGCGTTAACTCTGTTTTTTCCTTCGCAGATGCTGCCAGACCTGCTGAGCTTTTCCAGCAACTGTGTTTTTGTTCCTGATTTACAGCATCTGCAGTTCTTTCAGTTTTTATACTGCCAATATGTTTTGGTATGCATTGCAGTTTATTGAGTGGACATATACCCATATCTTTACTAACTTTGCCAGGACTTGTTCAAGACAAGTGCTGAGGGGTCTTCCATTCACAATGAAGAGAGTTTCAGGAGGGTAATGTGCATCCGTATTTTTCACTGGGGTAATTGGTTGCCTTTAGAAGAAGTTTAAGGTATGAAATCGACATATCAACTGGTCTACATAGTTATTTACTTGCATGAATAATGCTGACAATTATACTCGGATATAATCTTGGGTTTATTTGGTACCAGGAATGAATATGTGAAGTCTTCTTTTCTAATTGTAGCCCTAATGTTTGAGCAACAGCAGGTGTTTTTTGGAATACTCTGCTTATTATTTGTCAAGATATTTTCATAATTTGTAGAAGAGACATAGAATGAATACATGTGCACCATGTTCATTGGTGATGTAATGTGATCGACCAGCAACCCTATTCATAAAACATGCATCAACAAGAATGATTTCCAGAACTAAATAGGTGCATGGAGATTTTATTACAGAGTGATTTGTAATGCAGTGGTCTGATTTTATGCTCAAACTTTTATTTGCTTGAATGCTTATGCTTCCTATGAACAATGCTTGGAAACTTTTATGATGTATTAGCCATTGAAAGACCGGCAATAACATCAACCATATATGTAGCAGGTGCTCCACGCCCCTTAACTTCAACCAAAGATCTAATTGTACAATTAAATGTGCTCAAAAATGGGGATAAATCATGTAATATTTAGCAGTTCAATTATCTATTGAATAAATATAATACTTGTTAGTGTCAGAATTTTACCAAAAGCACACATTCCATCACTAACATAACTGTCTCATAATTGAAGCACTGATGACGTCAATGCAATTTAATAGTTTATTATTCAGAAAATAATCCCAGACATGTATCTTCTGTATGTTAAAAAATTATGATATTTGCAACTATTGCCTATATCAAATTGTTTTTGTTATTTTTGCACAGAGAAATAAGACCAATCCTGTTGATTCTTTTGTTTCAATCTTAAATATATTTGTGTATTCTTGCAAAGAAAATTATGTACACTGTGTTCAAGAAAAAAAGTAGCTACAGCTGCTTGAAATGTTTTTACAATTAACAATATTGATGAAATGTATATAAATAATGTATAAAATGATCCTTTTAACTTTTGTTGAGCATTTGAAAACAGTTCTCAGGCATTTATGATTTCATTGCAAACACTTCAGAAGGATGTGCAAAAGTCATAAATGATAAAACAGCATTTTGTCCATTTATCTCATTCCTCTGGTTTATTGATTCTTGATTTTCACCTGTAATTTTACTTCCAATAACCGATTGTTACTCTTCATTAATTTGCAGCATAAATTGTGGATTGACAATCGGTTAACAGACAGAAATCACAATGTAGACATAAATGGGCCATTTTCAGGATGGAAGGATGGGATTCCTCAAGTGCAGTGTTTTCAGTTGGGCCACTGAATATATTCAAGACTCACACAAATTTTTGATTGAGAAGGGAGTCCAGGGATATTAGAAACAGGCAAGAAAGTGGAGTTCAGACCATAGTCAGATCAGTTATAATCTTATTAAATGATGGAACAGGCTCAATGGGTCAAATGGCCTACTTCTGCATTTAAATCTTATGAAGTTATGATTTTCTAAAATTTTTAACATCCTTTCTAATGCCTTTATATCCTACCTAAGATTTAGTATCCAAAACTAGACATAAGACTCAAGGTGACCCCAAACCTCTGATTCTTTTCATGTTGATCATAACTTACTTTTGTTCTTCATACTCCTATTTATAAAGCCCTGGAACACATGTGCTTTCTTAATCAGAGATAGTGGGAACTGCAGATGCTGGACAATCTGAGACAACAAGGTGTAAAGCTGGATGAACACAGCAGGCCAAGCAGTATCAGAGGAGCAGGAAGGCTGACGTTTCAGGCCTAGATTCTTCTTCAGAAAAATCTTAATCACTTAATCACTTGCTTAATCTGCCTTTCTTTGTTTGTCAACATGTACCCCAGGTCTGTCTGACCCTGCCTGCCTCCCATTAGAATTTAGCCCTTATTTTTTATTGCCCCTTTTTGTCTACCAAAATGAATCGCTTCACACTTACACAGTGAATTTCATCTGCCACTTGTCCACTCATTCCACCAGGCTATCTTTGTTCTCCAGAAGTCTATCACTATCCTCCCCACATCTCACAATATTTAGAAGTTCGTCTTTAATTTTTTAAGTTGTGCCTTGTGAAACCAAGTCTAGAACTTTAACATATGTTTGGAAGAGTAGGGGACCTAACGTTGTCTCCTGGGTAACCCCACTATAAACCATCCTCCAGCCTCAAAAACAACAGTTCACCGTTGCTTTCTGTTTCCTGACTGTCAGCCTTTTGTATCCATGATGCTGTTTTATTCCCTGGACTCTAACTTTGCTGGGAAGCCTATTATGTGGCCCTTTATCAAGTATCTTTTGGAAATCCATGCGCAGAACAACAACCACATTACCCTCATCAATATTCTATCACTCATGAAAAAGATCTTAGCGAAGAGAAGGCAACAGATGTTAAAGCAATTAATATTTATTTACAGAAGTGCAGATTATATGCAACAGTTGAACATCAATGCCACTGAAGTACCTTCAGAAGGTTTCTTTTACCTTCTCCCAAGACTGTAAAGTTGGAGACTTTCTTTATTTCTTCATTTTTCTGCCTTTATATTCCATGTTTTGGTTTGTTTTTCTGTGTTTTAACATGACGCTGGACAGTGGCGACACTGTACAATACTTTTCATGGTATTTTGTAACAAGATACAAGTCACAATAAATAAATCAAATCAAGTCGTTATATCTAGGTGCAGGCCTGACTTCTACAGCTGGGGTGGAGACAGCCTGCTAACTGTTAGAATCTGATGATGTTGTAGGCTTTAACGGGGTTCCATACCAAAGGAAGGGCAGGCAATGTCTAGAGTATCCTAGGGCTCCTGCCTGTCATTCCTCCTCCTCTGGGTACCTGCTAACACCACCCTGTCTGCCTGGACAGATGCAGCAGTTGGAGTGAAGTTCTTCCCCCAGTTGTGTTGATGTTGATGCTGATCACTTGGGGCTAAATCAGCCACTGAGCATTCCGCTGGATCTGCCTGTCCCTAGCAGCCATCACCATTTCCATGGAGACAGCCAAGAGCTCGCGAGCTGATGCCAAACAAAAGTGAGAAAGGAGGAGGAGGGACTCCTCTATCTTTTGCTCCAGTCTACCAGTGGCTTTGGCACACTTGCCTGAAGATCACATGCCTCTCTCTGCAGGTTGACTATGTTGCTTATTGCTGAGTACAGGGTTATATCTTTTGCAAGGAGCTCAGCACATGCCTGGTCTCCTGCAGTCCTCTGGGTTTCTTCCTCCACTGACTGTAGACGCATGTCTTGCAGGGGGCATCTTCTGAAGGTTCACAGTCTTCTGCCTCAGTGTGGTGTAGTGCAGATAGGCTCAGGCTGTAGTATCTAATGCAAGGCTTGGTGCTGGTGCATGCAGAAGCGAAGAGAGGAAATGAGTTGTTGAAGATGTAAAGTAGGTAATGCAAATGAATGTGTTTGCCTTCATGCTGATCTGAGAAGAGTGGAATACAGTGCTGCTTTCTGCGTTACTGGCAGCCCACCGTCACGGGAATGGGCCTGGTCTTCCACAGCCAGCTCGTTCACTCTTTCTTCAGAGTGGCTGAACATCCTGATGTTGACCAGCCCCCAGTCAGTCTTTGCTCTCTTAACCTGGTTGATGGTTAGATTTCCCTCTAAAGAGATGGAGAAGGATTGCATATGATGGAAAGCAAACTGCAGGAGCTGTTTCTGAACATACAGAGTCATGTGAGGTGCTGAGGTATCCCCAGGAAGTGAGTAGGAAGTGCAGTGGGCAAGTCAAAGAGTTGGGGCTAATGTAAGATCAGTCATGACTGTATTTACTGGTGGAGCAGGCTCAAGGGCTGAATGGCCTACTCCATAAGACTGGTTCTTTTGTTCTTCTTATGTTCTATGAAGGGTTAATGATTTGAGAGGATGGGCTAGGTAGTGCTTGGTACACATCATGCACAAGCTGGTGAGGCTAGCTGGTTATGATGGTTTGTGGGTTACATGTGCCACGGCACAGTCAGACGGAGTGATGACCCTGTGAGGCGAAGGTGGCAGAGAGAAGATGGTGCCGCTCATCTTTTTGTGGAGCACAGGAGGTCAGTGATTGACTTCCTATGCTGCGTGCTGTCCCTTTTGTGCAGGCCAGTCACACAGACCCATGCTGTGATCTTTGCCCAGGCTGTGTGGGTCTGATGGGACATCATCCTGATGCGATCACACTGGAAGGGGATGGACATTTTTTCATCAATGAGTCCAGCAGCATGTGGACAGCAGTACACTAAACCTGGGAGTCATCTTAGACTTTTTGACAGACATTTCCCAGGTTCTGGGAGGTGTGTGGGGGTAGTGGTGGTACCATTGCTGGCTGAGGGGATGCTCCTATCTTGCAGTGAGTAGGGTCCAGCTGGACTTTAAATATTACCCCAGAACCTTCAGTGCCACGGCCAGCAACGAGAACTTCAGGCTCAACATTACCCGCTGACTGACGCTTTTGCCCAGAGAGGCTGAGAGGCTCATATGGAAAAACTCACAGTGGACATGATGGCTATTCAACACACTCACCACTGTACTTTAACTTCGAAGTGAAAGCTTTAGCCCACAATATTCCAACAGGAGCGTGCGCCCAATGAATACAAACTTAGAGTACAAATTACACCATTTCTTCAGGGATAGTCTCAGTGACCACTGTTGTTTTATTCAACATTATCTAAAAAGTTTTTGAAGCGCCCAAGTTTGTGTCTCCGCAGTTCTGAAACCGTGAAGTCATTCTCAAGTACATTTGCAATTTACCCTTGAACATCCACGGCTCTGGACTTCAGATATAGTTCTCCTGTTAACTTTGTCTTTTTGTTATTTGATCACTGAAACATTCAGTGAAATGTATTTGTGAATGCCATTTCAATGCAGTTTCAGTGTTGTTTTCCTGTGAGGTTGTTTCTGGATTGTGTTGACTGGTGAGCAGCCTTTCCCAGCGTCATGTTGCTTTAAGGAGGCTGTCAATACAAGTTTGCGGGAGGGCTTTCCTTTTTTTTCATTCCCGTCCCGAAATGCCGAGTTTTGTGAGCTCAGCGTGAGCCTATTGAAATTGAGTACAAGTGAGATTTCTCAAGCAGTCTAATGTGGAGAGGGAAACAGTGATAGCAGGATACAGCCTGTCTTACAATGTTGACAGCGCAACAACGCGCTGCTCTTAAACCTCAGGAGCAGTACCAGCAAGTCAGCACGAACAGGGTAAGGGACTTAACCGGGGACACTGTGGGCAGCACCAACAGTTTCAGGCTGCTTTGCCTTTTTTTCAAAAAAGAATTGTTACGCGCCTGTTTTATTTTCTCAAAATGCCAGTTGCACCACCGCATTTCGGCAGGAACTGGAAATTACTAGGCTTGTAGAGTTGCCCGATAACGAAGCAGCTTAACTTTCTTTTTCAGTTGCGTTTTAAAGCTTTGTTGTTTGTTGATATCAGGTGAATTGCACCAAGGACTTTAGCTTTTCTCACACCATCTATTCAATTACCAAAAATCAAATACAAATTGTACATCTGTAGTTAAATGGCTTGCTAAGTCTTGGAGTGTTAGATCAGTACATACATTTAAACTCTGACAGATGTAACTTTCAATGTTTAAATGTATCAGGTCCAGAAAAGCGCAGGTATCTTTAGTAAATGTGAGTTTGTTAATGGTAGGTGTTGGTTCAGTGTTGGTGAATGAAGTGCCTCTGGTTGGAAATGTTCAATCCCGCTCCAGGTGCTGCTATACGTTTACAATCTCTCCTTTAGACCCTTACCACTGCTCTCCGCCAGCAAGGTGAGTACACCGAAATATTATTGAAAATGTGGCGACTAACTCATTCATTTTCTGTACTTGGTTATCTGAATTTGCATCAGATAATGGGATAAAGTGGAATGAATAATAGTCACTAAATAGACCTTGATTTGTACTGTCTTGTGTGCTACATGAGTGGGTGCAGTGTTTAGTTGAAATATTTAAAAAGATTGTTACTAATAGTGGAATTTGCACTGTGTTTAAGCTTCAGGTTGAAGGCGAGATCCGATGTGACGATTTAATTTTGTTTTTCTGAATTCCCATTTTGTCCAGGCCGTCTCTTTCTTGAGCAAATTCTGCTCCAATCAAGTGTAAAAGTAATTCTCTCTGTACCGTGCCGGTGACTTCAAAATCACAAATTATCAACTTCTCTGATGCTTCTCTTCGCTGTGTCGCCCACTTCGACATTCCGATCCTGCGCATTTATTGTCCAAAAAGAAACGATTTTAGTCAGTCCTGTTGTATCAGTCAAAGTTTGAAATAAACTTTCTCAAGACTCTGTCCTCTGTCTCTGAAACACTACTCCGATCTAGCAGTGCTAAACGCTCCATCTTCCCGGAGTGATGTAGTGTGGACTGACAGAGCCGTGCTCCCTATACGCTGCTCCCTGGGGGTTTCATGCTGCAGTGATAGCGTCCCTACCCCTGAGCCAGGAGGCCTGGGTTCAAGTTCCACCAGTTCCAGAGGTGTGTGTTAACATTTTTCAACAGGTTGATCAGACTCTGTCAGCTGCTCCCTTCCCTGCGAGGGGTCCCACTCGGTTATTGTTGCCCCATTGTGTGATTACAACAGATCAGTGCCACGATCCATCCCTGCAGATCAAATTCCTGACAATTTGCTGCTAGAGTAGGAAAAGCAAGTGCAGTTTTTAAATAGGTAACCCAGAAACTGGATTTCATTCCTGAAGTAGATTCCCAGGATATATAGGTCGCTGGCACGGTCACCATTTATTACCCAAAATAAATCCAACAAGAACTGTGGACGCTGTCTTCCCACAGATGCTGCCAAATCTGTTCAGTTTCTCCCGCAATTTCTGTTTTTGTTTCAGCATTTATTCCTCAATGCCAGCTGCAACTACTGCAGTTCATATGGCGGGTGGAGGGGGGAATGGGTGAGGGTAGGAGGGAGCGGGTGAGGGGTGGAGGGGTGTGTGTGAGGGGCGCAGGGAGGTGGAGGGGGCGGGTGAGGGGTGGAGG